TTTCTCTGGATAACGGTTAACCAGCAGCCAGCACAACGACCAACCGCCTTTACTTTCCCTAACTAAAGTAAGGTACCCATTAGAGTTGGGTGGACTAAGGGGTGCCCTAAAAATCCAGAAATTCAAAATTCTAGTCATCACAGAGATTCAAACCCAGGACCCCAGGTTCGGAAGCCATCGCGCCCCCATCCTTATGTTTAGATTGCCTGATTTTTTTTTTAAATATTCGTTCCTTCGCAAAGTACACTATGGTGGATGATGCTTGGTCAAGAAGCTTGAAGAGGGGCTATGTTTTGTAAGGCTTTCGAGCAGAAACTTACGAAAAATTCAATGTATTGTTATGTGTAATGAGCAATAGTACTAATAAGACATTATCGTGACAACGTCCAATCGCCTCTACTTTTACCCAACTTATGCCAGGTACCCTTAGAGTTCGGTAAACTTACGGGGGTCCTAAAAATTCGAAAATTAAACTCACTGTCTTCACCGGAATTCGAACCCGAGACCCTTCGGTTCGGAAGCCAAGCGCTTTACCACCGCGCCACCTTATTATTAATGTAGTCAATTTGACGATAGAATAATTTGCGAAACTTGGAAGAGCCGTATGTATCCTAGGTGCGGCACAGTGGCAGAAAACCCCATGATAGAAGTTGAATAGGCTATGGAACCGAACAAATCCCACGTGTTGAAGAAGACAGAATAGTCCGCCATCTCCAGTCCTATCCACCCTGCCGTTCCTCACGCTGTGGCGGCGGTTCTAGAACGTCGCTGTGCGTGACTCGTGACCTCCCTCCCCAACAAAACTGCTGGTTAATGGGGGAACCTTCGGGCAGAGAATAGGGGGTGCGGTGAAGAACCAATCTCTTATTCCAATCAATTACATTTTTTTAAAGTCTTAAACAACCTACACAAATTACTGTTTAGATATTACTAATGCCTATGTCTGTCTTCATCATATTCGTCTTTTTGCTGCGTAATGAATCAACGTTTACCAAATATTTGATTGTGCATTAATGTTGCTTAAGAAAAAAAAACAAAAAAACTGAAGATTAACCTTAAACATTTTTTTAGCTCAATTATAAGCTTAGGCCTACTTAGGAAGTTAACCGCCCCCTCCGGTCAATAAAACCTAAAGGAAAACGACGTTCTCTAAAATCCATAAATGTAGCCAATGGGGTTTTGATGTTAAAACCCCCTTCCAGTAAACAGAAAAGTAAAGCTACAGTCACAGATTTACATAAGTGTGGCTAAAATTTATGAAATTTATGTTACACATTTGTTTTTCTACCATTCACTAGGCTCCATTAATAAAGTGCAATGAATCGAAATATTTGACCTACATGTTTTTAATACAAGAGTAGCAGGATATTTCACCGTATAGACACCTCAAAATTGGCTTTTTTTTGTGTTTCAAATACAGAAAATAATGCTTGGCGTCAGGGCTCCACCCTGTACCTCCTAGCTGGCAAGGGAAGGGTGTCTACTGTTGTTCCACAAACTCAAGAACAACTTATTGTAGGGTGCGTCCGATAAAATGAAAGGACTGAAGTAATGAAATGAATTACGTGTATAATTATGTATGTGTGCGTATGTCACGGTGTGCAAAGAAAAAAATCGTTCTCCCCCTCCGAAAAATATAGACTATGCCCATGATATTTATGACAGGCGTAGCTATGGTGGGGGAAGAGGGGATCCAAATTTGAAAATCCCACCGGGCTCCCAATCCTGGAGCTCCCCCAAATGAGTGTCCAATTTTTTTTTTACATTAAATATTAAATATTAGCCCAAATTAGGCTACTAGCGACGCCACTGGCATGGCATTTAAAATAGGAGTACCGGTAAGCGTCTCGCCGGGACTGGCAACAGATAACGTATTTTATATGTTAATATGTAATAGTAGGTATAATAGAGAAGCACATTTTTTCCTTCCTTTTTTTTTTTTTACATAACTGTAAACGCCTTTTAGTCTATAGGCCTATTTTTTATTACAATTATTTTGTATAGGAGGAAAATAATTGTTTCAGTTTAATCCAAAGAGTGCATTGTTTTATAGGTAACGCGGACGCAATTGTTATCTAAAACTTTTGCCACGTCTAACAACACAGAATGTCACAGACAAGCCATGGTCTGCAATCAGAGGTCGTTTTGGTTCTTTGGTCGTCTTCTACTGTCGTTTGCGATAGCTTTCCGTTGGCTAAACACGCAGTGCATTCTACCTTATTTTCTGAAAATATATTTTGAGTACGGTACTAGAGAACTATTTTATTAGGCTACCTTTTATACAAATCTTTTCACCGGCCTAATCGATTACACATTCAGCCTTATCTGGAAAAAAAAATCGACTAAAGAATCTTATTTTGCGGTTTTCTTTCAACAAAGTAAAATAAATATATATTAGTATACACAATTAATAGTTGTTTAAACAGAAAATAAACTGTATATTTTGCCATATCATATGCAGACTTTTGCAGACAAAGCCGGTTTTTTTTTCGTCTTCTGCGCCTGTCTTTAGCAAGAGCTTTTCGTTGGGTCTCAAATGTGTCACGCGATCTTCGTGAGAGCCCTCCAGCTGTCTCTTTCAGTGGCTATCTGCTGCCAGCTGCTTTCTTCTGTGATAGTAAGGGCAACATGGTACCTGAGTTTATTTTTATGGCGCTTCAGTTACTCTCCTTTAAAGCTCGCCAAAAAAAAACCCAAAACGATCGCGTTTGGAAAACGGTCATCCCCAATATGGGATTGGTTTGCTACCGACCTATTTATTGGCCTCCTACAGTCGTAGAACGTCTATGGTTCATCTCGTACACTATTTCAAATGGCTGTGGAGCCCTATTTTGGGAGAGACACTCCTGTCCACATATATTGCATGTCAAGGTGGCTTTCGCTTTGGTGGTCTTTGCTATCGGTGTCTTGTATCTCTTTTGTGATGGTAAAATCACAAAATCCTGACACAAAGGGGGATTCTTTATTTCGAGGATCTTGTTAGCTTTTTTATAGATGTTTCTCTCAAACAACTGCCCAAATGGGGTTTGTTTTTTGCCAATGATTTTACCAGCAGCTATTAGGATTCTATAAAGTTTATTTTTATTTTTAATGCTCAGATTGCCATACCAGGCAGTGATATTGAAACTTAAAATATTGCAGATATGAGCGTGATAAAACATAGCCAAGGCCTTTTCGCTAACATTAAACGCAGTTTTTCTTGAGCCAGACGCAAGTTGCCCGTACAGAATGATTTTCGGGATGCGATTGTCCTCTATCCGGCGAACATGGTCCGAACCAGTGCGGCCTTGCCTGAGGACCGTAAAGATACTGGGAAGGCCCGTTCTCGCTAGGATCTCAGTATTGCACACTCTTTCTTTCCATGTTATTTTTTAGATCCTTCGAAGGCAGCGCAAGTGGAATGAGTTTAGCTTTCTTTCTTGTTTTTGTGTAGGTTGTCCACGACTCGCTGCCGTACAGTAGTGTGTTACGAACGCATGCCTTGTAGATCTCCATTTTAGTCGCTGTGGTGAGCTTGTGGTTTTCCCAAACACTTGGTCGGAGTCTAGCGAAGGTTGATGCGGCCTTCCTTATGCGTACCGCAAGGTTGTTAACGCCGGAAGTGGTAATGGTTCTAAGCCCACCATTACCTATAAAAAGCTTCCAATGGCACGCGTCTCAAATAGCCTCTGACAACCAGTCCAACTCCTGGCCTTCACGTGTGGTTCAGATACTGAGCCCGGCGGAACCAACAGGAGAAGGGGCAAAGGCGAGCAACTGCGGCGCCTAAAACCGACCTAACGTAGCTGTCAAATGGTTAGTCTTCTACACTGTCCACATAGGTATTCAGCAGAGCCCGACACTTGATGGAAGCGTTGATGGGGCCTTAGATTCATCATATAGTGCAACAAGTTCTCTTTAGCCATACAAAATCGTGACGAGAACCACTGCTTTATATAGACCTACGTTGATTTTTATGTGTGTAGACGAAGAGACCTATTACTACATATATCTAGAGGCGACCAAAAGCGATGTTAACCCTAGCGAGACATTATCGCTTTTCGTTGGACACGGTACTGTCCATGTACGTGAAGTGGTTGACAACATTAAGGAAGTGGCCATTCACATTGATTTGAGCTGAGTTAGTTTTGCATGGAAACTTCTGTAGCAGCCTCAGCAAATTCCTGTTTCGGTGTGTGCAAGAAGGGCTCAAACATCCGCATAAAGAAGCCCAGTAACAATCATCTCTTTAATTTTTTGTATGGAGAGTGTTACGGTAGAATTAGGTGGTTACTATACTATGATATCATCAGAAGTTAAATCCTATATGACTCAAATTCCAGAGTATATATCGGGTAATCTTGTCTAGGGGAAAGAAATAACAGAATCCCTCTTTACGATATAAAACTATTTGATTAACCAAGTATAAATCGTGAACAGATTGAACACAAACTATACATTAATTTTAACATGAAAGTTGAAACTTATTGACTGACCCTGCTTATTGCCTTCCCATCTCTAAAATTAGCTTCTCCAAGACAAGTAAGAACCAGATGTCCGATTAATTAATCCTTAACCAACTAACCCAGTGGCATAGCTATTATAGGGTGGGGGAGAAATTGGAAATCTCCCCCCGGGTCCCCACTTGAAAGGGGCACCAAACGAGTGTTCGAATTTATTTTTTACATTAAATATCACGCAAAATGCAGGGGGGCTCAAAGAGATCAAGGCTCCCCCCGGGCCCACAAATGATGGCAAATTCCTAGCTACGCCACTGGACTGACCATCTTTATAGTAAGCGATGTAATATCTGAAAGACAGATAAACACATCGGGTGGTAGACAGATACACACATCGTATTCGTATACCATCCTGATGATCCAATATTAAGTCCCTTCCCTTTTTAAAAAAAAAATAGTTTTTTTGTCTTACATCTAGTCTATAGATATAGAGATCTAGATCTTGAAAAAAATCAATGGGTATCCAAAGAGTTGAGCAGAACTAGCAACATTTTTTTCTTAACTTCCTCCTAAGTTACTAGATCTAAAAGTTAGCCTATAAATTTTAAAAATTTCATAATCTAATCTATAGATTTACTGTGAAAATTATTGACATCATGTTTATATATTTGAATAATATTCGGAAACCAAAACGTAATAAACCAAAATAACCCAAAACAAATAGATCGATTCTAGATCATTGGCAAATTCAACTGAGTCATTGGTACTGTATTGGTTGTGGCCTAGCCTTCAGCACATTGAGTGGTAGGGTCAATTCGAGGCTGTGACCTATATTTTAACGGAAGAGGAATACACACTCATTGACCGCCATGAATGTTTGTCGGCGGTAGTGTAAAATATTTACGCCAATTATAAAACCATTCCTTTTTTGGATTCTGGTTATTTTTTTTTTCGGAAACAAAAATGTTTCCAATACAACAAGGTAGTGGACTATATAATCGCTAGATTACTCATTACAAACTTAGAATGGATTAGAATTTAAGTCTAGTAGATTTGTCTAACAACACAAAAAACACTACTCCAGTAGTAGTAGGCACTACTAAAAGAGACAACACTAACTCAAACAGTCACACACTGACACTCAGACACTGCTCAACTACTGACTCCGTGACTGTGTGTAAACTCTAGTAGTACTAGACTACACACTAGAAATAAATCTATAACAACAGTGACTCAGTAGTCAGTGCTAAATACTGTCTTTAATAACGAGACAGATCTACTCATCTAGTCTAGAATTTAGAATCTACACTCGTTATTAAATAATAAAGTTATTTAAAGTTTATTGACTAAAACTGTTAACTATGTTACTATAATTATGATTAGATCTATATCTCAATAGATTATAGATCTAATAATTAGACTCTAATATTTAGATTGCCGAATCCTGGCCCATTGGGCAGGACAAAGACAAAGATCTTCTAGATCTAATTAATTCTAATTATTTTCCTAACCCTAGCCCTAATGTTTGTAATGTAATAGATAAGATTTGGACTGGGTTTACTTTATTATAATTATAGACTTTATTCTCTATAAATTGTATAATTATAGACTTTATTCTTTATAAATTATATAATTATAGACATATTCTTCTCCTGTCTACTGCATTATGCGTACAACGACATAAACAAAGGTGTGTTTCTCCATACAAGATCCTCTGGAAAACTATTTAATGTATCAAGGCTGCGGGTAAAAACCAAGGTTAGGAAGCTACTCGTCAAGGAACTCCTGTATGCTGATGATGCAGCTATTGTGGCTGATTCTGATATTCAGCTACAGTCCCTGGTTGACAAACTATCTGCTGCTTGCCAGAAGTTCGGCTTAAACATCAGTCAAAGCAAGACTAAGATACTTGTCCAAAACACAAACACTGCACCTCAAGTAAGCATTAATGGCCAACCACTAGAAATTGTTGATCACTTTTGTTACCTTGGCTCCATCATATCCAACACTCTACTGGATAAAGACATAAACAACAGGATAGCCAAGGCAATGGCCACCATGTCACGGCTGCAGAAAAGAGTCTGGGACAACATATTGCTGACTAGCAGTACTAAAGCCCTAGTCTACCTGTGTGTTGAGCACCTTGCTGTACGGAAGTGAAACATGGTCAACCTACTCATGGCAGGAAAAAAAGCTGAATGTTTTCCACCTCCGATGCCTAAGGCGGATCTTTAAAATAAGGTGGCAAGATAAGATAACCAATGAGGAAGTGCTACAAAGCGCAGGGTGCCAGGACATCCACTCTGTTATCAGCAGCAGACGCCTTGGCTGGCTTGGCCACGTTCGTAGAATGTCAGTAGGTCGACTTCCACAGGACATCCTGTATGGCGATCTAATAGAAGGCAGGAGAGTCGCTGGTCGCCCACTTTTACGTTATACGGATGTATGCAAACGTGACATGAAACTCTTCAAAATCAACACTGGCAACTGGGAAGAGGTGGCACTGGACAGATCTTCATGGAGAGAGAGCATAAAGGAAGGGTCAAAGATTGCAGATGTCATACACAACAGAAGCAGAAAGAAGGGTGAAAATGCAACGGCGCCTGGTGATTATATATGCCCAACCTGCGATCGCAGCTGTGTATCAAGGATTGGCCTCTTTAGTCACACAAGAAGTTTCAAAAGGGAAAAGATCGTCTCTCGAGACGTAAAATGCCACAGAATTATAGACTTTAAGTTTAGATGTTTACTTAGTATTATCGTAAGGTAGTCTACTTTCCCATATCATAAAGAATAATAAAGATTTTATTAGTTCTAGAGTCTATATGTAAATCTTTGTCTTCGTTCTGATTTTAGTGAGTGTTCTGTTCTTTAAAATTTACTCTATTTATCTTTACTCATTCAACCCACCCTTGCCCCATGGATGCAAGATCCCCGGCATGCCGGCAAAATCATAGTTAAAAAAAAAGCTTGCAGGCAAATGCCAGTCCGACTGATTGCCGGCTCGGAATCAGACTTTTTTTTTCCTTTGCAATAACGTTTTGGTCTTTTATACTAAAAATTAATGTAGAATTTAAAGGAAAATACATTACTTAAGCTATGGCGCATGCACTAATTACCATACTTTCGCTTTATATCAAAAACGTAAACAAAAGTTAAAAACAAATCCGTAAGGCCAAGACCTAAGACTCCTAAGTTAGTAAGTAGATCTAGATCTAATTCTAATAAGTTTGATCTGCCGGCAAAAGAACTTATCATCTAAAAAGAAATTTTAAACCAGACCTAGAGGCTAGATCTAGTTCTATTTCTACATTTTAAAGTGATTTTAGAAGTTGAACGTACCAGTATTTACTAACCCGAAAATGCAAAATTACGGTATCATCGTGATCGTCCTATCGCCTGCTGTATTAATAAAGATAGATCTAGCCTAGAGTAGTAGAATCTAGATCTAGACTTAGATTTATATGATAGATCAATATCAATGAGTAGATCTATTAACTATTAGATCTAGATAATTAGAATAATTAGTTAGAATCTTAAAGTTACAATCTACCACTAGATCTAGGTCTAGTTAAGTCTATATAATATAATATATAGTACCTGGGCAGAAGCAGCGTAGATGGTAGATCTATCTAATCTATAGTCATATATATATATATATCTGTAAATGTTTTATTTATGTTGTGAAGATATAAGAGGCATCATGCTTGCAGGTTTTTTGGGGTTGCCGACCCCCCCATTGCAGGCAAAATGGGGCTCCGTTGCTTGCATCCATGCCTTGCCCTTAAATCAACTTAAAATACTTAATCATTAATTGCCTTATATTATGCTATCTTTAAATTTAATTTAGAATTATACTACTAGAATTCTAGATCTAGTCTAGAAAATGTAGTCCAGGACTAGTGATATCTAGGTTTCATCTAGATTCTAGATCTAGTAAGTTTGGTTGACTTGACAGAACAATTAAATTTTTGATGTTAAACTCTGCTGTCTTTTATAGTTAAACTGACATTGCCATGAAAAACATTACTTTATTATAATCTAGACCTATAATCTAGAGTTAGAAATGTAGGCTCTTAACTAGTATGTCTACTTCTAATAAGGATTATAAAAATATTTATATTGCAGGACAATAATTTGAAGAAAAAGTAAAGAATTTTTACTTTGACTAGACAGTTGAGCAATGGGTGACTTTACTAGTATTGACCTGTCATAGAGTCTGTGAAACTGTTTGTTGTGTTATTTCAAAGTGTAAATAATTTTTGTTTACCTTCTTCATTTCGGTAAATTTTACTTAGGAAACTGAGGATTATTTGAATTAATTTGTCAGTGTGAAGAAACAAGTCCTTTTAGGTTTAAAGTGTCTTTTAATTGTCGAACATTTTAACAAAACATATATACACGGCAACGTTATATACAGATCTTCTACTTCACTCGCTGACTTCTCTCTCTCTCTTGTTTACACACTCGTCACTTCCCCCAAGTCCCCTAACTCTCGATACCCAACACTTGACCGTGTGTCACGGTTGACCACACAGTAACCGTGTCACAACAGTCCTCCCAGGGCAGAGAAAAATTTTGATCGTATCAAAATTTTATGAACCCAATAGTTTGGGTGTACATCAATAATGTTTTACATCGACAAGAAAAAACAATGACGTAATACAATGGCATCTTCTATTATGAGAGAACTGATAATGTCAATGACGACAAATGTCTTCAATAATATGTTATTGCAATGACATTTCCAATTGAATGCCAACATTGTCAGGTGAAAAATGCACAAATTAGTTAATACTTTATGTTACATCAAAACATCTTCCAAATTAAGGGAATTGTTTACTATGTGTTTCTTTCATACCAGTTCCTAAATGGACATCTATCATCTATGACTACAATCAATGCAACAAACATAAAAAACTCAATTGTAGTACAAATTTACCATCACTGAATGAAAATAAAAAATTCTGGAGCGTAATGTTAATTCAATCTTGACAAGACAGACTTTAAAGTTATCTTACAAGGTATTTGTTAATTTTCTCATTATCTGATTAATGAATGAACATAAGTCCAGCGATCCCTAGACACATCTTGTCAACACGTCAGCCATCACGTTGATTTGTCCCGGAATAGCTTGAACTGTAAAGCTGAAGTCTTGAAGTTTTAAAGCCCATCTAGTGATCCTCTGGTTGGCTAGCTTATTTGTATTGATATAAGCTAGTGGGGCGTGATCTGTTAACAAGATGAATGATTTCCCAAGCAAGTAACGGGATAGTTGAACACAATAGCTAGAGCTTCACGCTCTATTGTGGAATATTTCTGTTCTGCTGCGTTCAGCTTTCTGCTAATGTAGTAAACTGGTCTTAGCGTTGCATCACACTTCTGCATTAAAGTGCCTCCCACTGCTGTGGAGGATGCATCTGTTGCCAAGTAGACAGGGTTTCTGATGTCTGGAAGCTGGAGTACTATGTCGTCTGAGAAGACATTTTTAATGCTTTGCAGGCATTCCTGTAGTCTGGAGTTCCATGTGATCTTGTTTGGCATGCCTTTTTTTGTCAGTTCAATTAGAGGTTGTGTAATACTTGTGAAATTTGCCAGGAACCGTCTATAGTAATTACATAAACCTAAGATGCTTCGGACTTGTCCTTTTGTTGTAGATATTGTTAAGTTGAGTATCTTGCTTATATTGTCTTGTAATGGTCTGATCGTATTTTGATGTATTCTGTGCCCTAGAAATTCAATGTCTGTTCTGGCGATTTTAACCTTGCTAGGTTTTATTGTAAGCCCGTTGTCTTGTAGTAGCTGGAATACTTGTTGCAG